CCTGGTATGACCACCCCCTCCCATCCCGGGTGGGAGGGCTCAGCCTTCTGCTGACTAGGGGAAGAGGACGCCCATTGGGGGTGGGGTGGGGGCTGAGAGCGCGCCTTTGGGCAGAGAACAGAGCTGCTCCCAAAGTCCCTTATGTCTAGGACTCCCCTCAGCACCCTCTGCAGGGTACCCCATTCTGCCCTCCTCCCTCTGGGGCACCAGAGCTCCCTCTACCCTCTGTCAGCCTGGCTGAGGAGACAGGGTCTCCCCCAGGAGGCAGGGAAGGGCTCACATCCTGCCCTCGCCCCAGCCACTGCAATGAGCAAAGTCAGTGTTCCAGAGCTGAGCCGGGCCCTCCCCAGGGCCTGTGCAGCCGCCCCAACAAGCAGCATAAGGGCAGCACCTATGTCTCAAGCGCCAGCCCCCACCCCAGGCCTGGTGCCAAGCGCTTCACATCCGTGATCTTGGCCAGCCCCACACCTGGTGAAGTGGGCACTGTCACCTGGTTCTGTTGGTGAGGAAACTCAGGCTCAGGCAGTGACCTGCCCACTCTCACAGCTAGTAAGTAGCAGAGGCCGGGCTCCTCCCCCTCGCACGCTTCTCGGCTTGTGCACCTCTAGTCCCAGGGAGCTCCCCCCTGACGAAGTAGCAAACCCCACTTGGACAGCTTTTTGAATATATATTTTTTTTATTGATTTCAGAGAGGAAGGGAGAGGGAGAGAGAGATAGAAACATCAACGATGAGAGGGAAGCATCGATCGGCTGCCTCCTGCACGCTCCCCACTGGGATGGAGCCTGCAACCCAGGCATGTGCCCTGACTGGGAATTGAACCATGATCACCTGGTTCATAGGTCGATGCTCAACCACTGAGCCGCACCGGCCAGGCTAGACAGCTTTGATGGGAGACAGTCTTTCCTTTCCTTGAACTGATGTCTGCCCCTCCTAAGCTCTGTTTCTACTTCTGACTCTGTCCCAAGGGCTACCAGGCTGACCGCTCTTATACCCCAACCTCCTGAGAGATGTGGGGGTGAGGTCACCGCCCTCTGAGCCTGGGGTTCCTTGGGCCTCACGTCTTCCAGTCTGTAAACCAAAGGGCAGCTCCCGCGCTGGGCGCCCACCCTCAGGCCTCAGTTCTTCCAGGGAAGACGCTCACGGTGGCCCCTTCTCTGTCTCCCCATGGCCCCCCCAGGCTGCTGAATGAGAGCGACAAGCGCCCCTTCATTGAGGAGGCCGAGCGGCTCCGGATGCAGCACAAGAAGGACCACCCGGATTACAAGTACCAGCCGAGGAGACGGAAGAACGGGAAGGCGGCGCAGGGGGAGTCGGAGTGCCCCGGCGCGGAGGCCGAGCAGGGCGGGGCCGCCATCCAGGCCCACTACAAGAGCGCCCACCTGGACCACCGGCACCCGGGAGAGGGCTCTCCGATGTCGGACGGGAACCCTGAGCACCCCTCAGGTGAACACTGGGCTGGGGGCTAGGGTGGGTGTGATGCTGAGCTGTGGGTGGGGGAGCTGGTGTGGGGAGAGGTGAAGGCTGGATGGGTGGCGTGAGACCCTGACACTCCACGACAGCCCTGTGCCCTGAGCAGGGCTTGCCAGGCTGTGTGGTCACTCCAGCTGGGTGCAGGGGCCCAGGTGCCAGGGAAGGCAGTGGGTAAGATGGCTCTGCAGATGGAGGGGGCACTGCTGCTGAGGGAAGGGCCAGTTAAGGGGCCCTGGGGTGAGCTACAACAAGAAAAGGCGGGACTGGATGGTTTGAGAACCGGGAGAGCAGATAGAAAAGAGAGCGTTGCCTCTCCCACCTCCCGGTCTGATGGGGAGACAGACAGCAGGGCCTGTGACACTGAGCGCATGCCATGCAAGGGCCTGTCAGGCCATCCTGTTTCATTGTCATTCATGAGAACACTAACATTAACTGAGCACCTACGGTGTGCCAGGCACTGTGCCAACTGCCTTGTGTGTCTGCTCATTCGATCGTTCTAAACGGGGAGGCTCAGAGCTCAGATGAGGTTCATTACACTCCCTGGAAGGTGAGAAAACTGAGGTGATGGGCCCCACGGCTGAGGTCTGAGCCCAGGCTCTCTGGCTCCGGGGCCTCTGCAGGCACCACGGCTGCCTCGCTTGGGCTCACAGGAAGTCAGAGCTCTGCTCTTAGAAGCTATGTCCCGAGTCCACATTTGATCCAGGCCCGGGAGCAGACACTCAGGAACCAGGGTGTAGGACAGCGATGGCGAACCTATGGCACGCGTGTCAGAGGTCACACGCGAACTCATTTTTTTGGTTGATTTTTCTTTGTTAAATGGCACTTAAATATATAAAATAAACATCAAAAGTATAAGTCTTTGTTTTACTATGGTTGCAAATATCAAAAAATTTCTATATGTGACACGGCATCAGAGTTAAGTTAGGGTTTTTCAGAATGCTGACACGCCGAGCTCAGGAGGTTCGCCATCACTGGTGTAGGAGGAGCAGGAGCATACGTGCCTGAGGTATAGGGAGAAGCAAGTGCATGCACAGCCACCCAAGACGCAGCGGGGCATGACCTCTAGGGAGGGGTCACCCACCATCTGCTCAGTTGGGTCTCCAGAAGCATCCAGCCCCGCCAGACTCCGGGCCAGGAGGGCTTCAGGATGGAGGCCGGGCTTTACTGATAAGGAAACTGGTTAGGAGAAGACAGGGGTCTGCCCAGGGTCACATGGCAAGTGACCCAGCCCTCCCTCTGGTCTGATGGACGGGGCACAGGCCTGCCCTGCAGGAGCTCCTATCTCTCTGTGATGGGACCTCCCGTCCCGTCATCCTCCCACACACGTACACACGCACGCACACGCACAAACACACACCCCCAGAAAGAAGACCCTGGGCCGTGAGAAGCACCACCTCAGACTGTAACCGTGGGCTTGGGCTTTTTCTCAGCCTTCAAGGCCCAGCTCAGCCCTTCCCTCAGTGAGACCTTCGCCAGACCCCCAGGGCAGGGTGCGTGGCTGCCGCTGGCCCGAGCCCCTGCGTGCCCGTCAGCACGGCACTGCTGCAGCTGCCACATGTGGGTCTCGGGATCTCCCCAAGCCTCTGAGCTGGTGAAGACAGCGACCCATTTTACTGATGCTTATGTCCCCTCTACCTGGCACCGTGCCCCTAAGTGTTTGCCGAATAGACATGTGAATGTGAAGTGGACAAAGGAACAGGGTGGAGAAAGTCTGGAGACACTGCCAGGGGGCTGGCTCAGCGGGAAGGTTTCCGGGAGGAAGGGGTTGGAGGGAACACTGCTGTCCGGGGAGGAGGCACAGGCCAGCCAGCAAACATGACGGGGAGTCAGGAGAGAGGTCAGCGAGGACAGCAGCCGGCAGGCGGCTGAATGGAGGGCAGGGCCCCCCTGGGCTCAGCAGCTAAGGAGCCGAGGGCCAGGAAGGCAGCCACCTCAGCTGATGGGAGGAAACTTTCCAACGGGAAAGGTCTTTCAAAAGGAGGCAGCCTTTCCAGGGGGGAGGCAGGGAGGCAGGACCCACCCGTAAGGCTGGGGGACTTCAGGAACCACTAGAGAGCAACCCAAGACCGTGACATAAATCAATGCCAACCCAGACTGCCCAGGCCTGTAAGACGTACAAGGCACGCAGGGTCAGCCCTCAGGTCCTGGAGACCCCTTCTCTGAGGGTGAACTACCAGCATCTAGAAGCCTCTGACCTGGTTTCCTGCTTCTCTGTCTTCCTCCCACTCAGGCCAGAGCCATGGCCCCCCTACCCCTCCGACCACCCCAAAGACAGAGCTGCAGTCGGGGAAGGCAGACCCCAAGCGGGACGGGCGCTCCATGGGGGAGGGCGGAAAGCCTCACATCGACTTCGGCAACGTAGACATCGGGGAGATCAGCCACGAGGTAATGTCCAACATGGAAACCTTCGATGTGGCTGAGTTGGACCAGTATCTGCCACCCAACGGGCACCCGGGCCACGTGGGCAGCTACTCAGCAGCTGGCTATGGGCTGGGCAGCGCCCTGGCTGTGGCCAGTGGACACTCCGCCTGGATCTCCAAGCCGCCAGGCGTGGCTCTGCCCACGGTCTCGCCACCTGGTGTGGATACCAAAGCCCAGGTGAAGACGGAGACCGCGGGGCCCCAGGGGCCCCCGCACTACAGCGACCAGCCGTCCACCTCGCAGATCGCCTACACCTCCCTCAGCCTGCCCCACTACGGCTCCGCCTTCCCCTCCATCTCCCGCCCCCAGTTTGACTACTCTGACCATCAGCCCTCAGGACCCTACTACGGCCATTCAGGCCAGGCCTCCGGCCTCTACTCGGCCTTCTCCTACATGGGGCCCTCACAGCGGCCCCTCTACACGGCCATCTCTGATCCCAGCCCCTCAGGGCCCCAATCCCACAGCCCCACACACTGGGAGCAGCCAGTATATACGACGCTGTCCCGACCTTAAAGGGGCCCTGTCACATCCCCCCAGCCCCTGGCTAGTATGCCCTTCCCAAGCCCTCGCACCCAGTTCCTGGCCCATCTCCGTCCTGGTGGTGGCTGGGGAGGAGGCGGCAGAGGCTGACAGCTGAGGGGAGGCTTTCTGTCGGGCTCACTGCCTTTGATGACCCCACCCCATTCTGTCCGGGCTCAGCCCAGGCAAAGCCCTAAACTAGGCTGGGCCAAGGAGGAGGAGGTTGGTTTTTGCCCCTAGACTGGACCATGAGGGACTGCACCTTCCCCCCAGGATGACCCTCCATCCCAGGACCTGAGAAGGACCCGCTCACCCTCTGGGAGGGGGAAGCGCCCAGGGTCGGATGGGAATCGGAGGCCTTGCCATTCCTGTGACTGTGTTTCCTCTTTCGTGTTGAACGAGGGGTCTGACATAACCCATGCCACCTGTGCCACGTGCCGAAGGTCAAGGCCATCCCTGCATCAGTGCCTGGAGTGGGCTATGTCTGCCCCTTGGGGGCTGGGGACAGCTTTGAACAGCCTCCGAGAGTGTGGAGGTGGGTGGGGGCTCAGTGGGAGGTATCCCCCCAGTTTCCCCTTCCCTCCTGAACACAGAAAGGAATCAACTTAGAGACCCCAGATCCAGTTCTATGCCAACAGCCTGAGTTTTCATCTAATCGGAAAGAGGGCCCCAGGGCCTCCTCCACTACAGCCTCCCAGACCTTGAGGCACATCCTGGAGGTGAGGAAAGGACTGGAGACAATTCACAGAGCCTTCCTCCTGGCTCTCCGCCAGCTCCCTCCCCCCTCACCAGGCTCTGTGGCCCCTGCTCTCGGCCCCACTCCTGGGCTCCCAGAGAGCTATGCTGCTCGTGCCCAAACCCTTGGCTCCAGGAGGACAAGGGGCCCAGCACCAGGTTGCTAGCAGCAGCTGAAGACACTAAACTCCTGCCATGTACATTCTGCCCTGGCCTCTGCCCTTTGCTTCCCAGTGGTATCTGAATAAAGTATGTAGCTCTGTCTGCCCCTATGTTCCTGTTCTGCAGCCCCCACAATCCACATGTAACTCATTACTACCCCCTTATTTATCTCAGTAGCTCCCCACCCCCCTAGGTTCTCCAGCTCCTATTAACTCTGCATTAAGTATTCCCTGTAATAAAAGTAAAGGTTCCAGCTACCTGCTTGGTGGGCCTGACCTGGCCTGTCTCTTGGTCTCTTCTCCCTGCACCTGTGCTTCCTCACACTTCCTGGAAGTAGCTAGGGGTGGAATGCAAAGGACAGCTAACCCAAAGGTCTCCTCTCTGCCTAGGAAGAGGGGGCCTCGCAGTGGGTCAGTGTGCTCAGGGGCTGGGGCCTCAGATGGGAGCTCTTCCCCCAGGCCAGCTGTGCCCACCCTACAGCAGCCCCTCTGTTTACCCAGCAGAGGAGAGGGAGCTTGCATAGAATTCAAGAGACAGGGACTTGAGAGGCGGGTCAGGCCTGACTTCCTGGTGTCTGGCTGCCCAGTCCTTTAGGATGTGATGCTGGGCCTTCTCTCTCTGCGCACGCGCGCACACACACACACACACCCGCATATACACACACATAAACACACACTGGCCCAATCCAGGATCTAGCCAACCTTCACGGCAGCTGCCTGTGTCTGAGGGTAAACCCAGGATGGCCGGCGTGCAATCTAACCTTTCAGTGCTTCCTCCCTCAGACTCTTTCCTCAGCTGAATTCCAAGCTGTGCTGGGGGCAGGAGCCAGGGGAGCAGGGGAAATCCTTTCACCACATGCTCCACTGATGGCTGGCTCCAATGGCTGAAGTCTTCCTTACTCCCAGCTAATAATAACACTAATAGCTATCACTTACGGAGTGCTCCCTGGCCAAGTGCTTTATGTCATTCAAGCCTATGAGGGAGGAGATCCAGTCTTTGTCCCCAGTTTCCAGATGGGCAAACTGAAGCTTTGAGGTTCATGCTAAGAAGTGCTGATGCTCTTAACCGTCATCTCTTCCATCTGCCCAGCATCTACAGGCCCTGCTTTCACTTTTAATCTGAAGTGATGCTTTTTCCACTGCTCCAGACCGGCACCTCAGCTCCCTAACCCACCTCTCACCTCCTAGTCAGGACCTGGGGTGGGGTGGGGCGGGGAGGGGTGGGGTAGAGCGTGCCAAGACCTAGCCCAGTCCTCCAGGGTGGCCAGACTCCCATCCGGAAACTGCATCATGTGAGCTCTTAGGCAACCTCACCAAAACTGCTGGCTCCGTGAAGCTCCGTGGTAGCTGCGAACCCCTGTTCTCCTGAACAGTATCTGCTGCCAAGTCAGATCGCCCCAAACTGTATGTAAGATGTCTTCGGGTATTTTGTTGTTGTAGATAAAAGCAGGATTTTATACTGATCTTTAACAGATTTCATCTTGTTGGAATTGACCATTTCCCACCTACGTTAAACATTTTGGAATCCTGAATACAACTTACTAGCTCTCCTTCTGTATCTGCAAACCTGAATATCCTATTCAAGTCACTAATAAAAAAGGTTGAAATGAAGAGAAGCAGGCCCTGTGAATCCACTAAATCCTTCATTAGTTCTGTCACTACACTCTTAAGGAAAGACTGGCAATCGATTCTGAATCTATTATCACCACGAAGTCCACACTTCATCACAGTACAGACCGCCTGGTGCCTTGCTATAACAAGATTTGCTGTAGCCGCCGACCTTCCAGACCAGCCACCACCGAAAACATTGGGTAATATTCTGAGAAACCCTATGCCAGCCTTGGGATCTCTTCATGACCTAAGTGTTTTCCAATAAGCAGTAACCGATTCTAGGTATGAGTCCGGGATCAATCGGTGCTAACCTTACGTGCTCGTCATTGTTACAACCCACCCTTTCACCTCTGTTGGAAAACAGGGTATTAGGCCATTTCCAGTCTGTTCACTGCTCCTGCTCGCGGCAGGACTGCATCTCATGCGATCGACTGGGAAGTCACTGGGGACTCGGGAAGAGGGAAAATGGACAACTGATCCCAGAGAAGTCGGCAGACCTGGCTTGTTTCATCCCTTAGACTCAAGGTTCCGGATGTGCTGGGGCCTCAGTCAGGGAGTGACACATGTAAAGAGAGAAGGAGCCAGGTGAAGAGATTATGCCCAGCCCTGGCCAGCTGAGTAGCCAGGGACTGACTCCCTGAAAGAGGAGGAGAGTGGAAAGGGGGAGGTGGGAGGAAAAACACCCCCTTCTCCATCTCTCCTACGCCCTATTCCCTAAGGGTTAACCCCCCACTCCCTTCTCTCCTCCCCCACCCAAACCCCATCTCCCTTTAATCACATCTGATACTGAGCGGCCCAGCAGGAACAAAGACACCATTTAGAGAAACGGGGCCGAGAAAGTGACCCCCGCACTCTAGGGCGGCCGCCTGGATGCCAGCACAAAGGCGGCATTTCAGAGCTGAAATTTCAGCACCCAACTTGATTAAAGGATTCCACAGGCTTGGAGGAGGGTGGAAGGGGGTGCAAAGTCCCCTGCTCCCTGAATTAACCCTCTTGCAAGGCAGCAAACACCCCTCCTGGAACTGACCGCTCATCTGTCCAACCAGGGTGCACCCACCCCGGGGCCAATGCAAAGCAATAACTCTTCGGTGCCTAACTTGGGTATTTAGGTCAATTCCCTTACCTCCTTAGTTAACCGGGAAGGGGAGCTGACAGTAGAAGGGAGGTTAAGGCTGGTATATTCTATTCAGGGAGTCAATTTTCCCTTCTATCTCTGTTGGGGTCAATATAAACCCTCTCCCTGTCCCCCGCCCCCCCAGGGAGGGAAGATCCAATGTGATTGGTCTTACGGCATGTCCGGTAAGCAAGGTGAAGAGAATAGGACCCATTAGAACCTAGGACAGAGGGTGCGCTCCAGTCCTGATTTAAAGCCACGCCTTGAGCCCAGGAGTCCTGCTTCCCTGCCCACTATGATCCCAGCACCCATCCCAGTCAAGGCCTCAGAGGGTCACGGGCCCGCACAGAACAGGAAGGACATCTTCCAGAGGCTGGGAAGGAGGGTATGGGTGTGGCAGACCAGGGAGGTGGGCCATGGAGGACACCGTGTGGGCAGTGGCCTGAGGAGTGGGGATAAGGGGGGCAGGTACTGGGTCCTTGCTCCAGCTGACTTGCCCAGCAGGGCTCTGCCTGGGGAGGGCGGAGATCACTGCGTCCCCAAGCTTCCTGCTGGGCCACTGCTCCTGAAAGGGGATCCGAGCCCATGATAAGAGGCTCGAGGCAGGTCCTTAGGAAACAATGGGTGGCTTGATGAGACCTGCTCTGTGATACTCCTGAGAAGGGAGAAGCCCCTGCAGCCAGTCCCCACTGGAAAGGAAATTGGGAGTTTCCATGGCAACCAGCTCCCTGGGCACAAAGGCTGGTCTGTCTGCTGGGAAGGCAGCTGAGGTGTCTCCCTGCAGCAGCCTTTGCTCTGGTGAAGGGGAGATGGAGGGAGGGATGCGGGGTAGCCACAGGGGTAAAGGCCCCTGGTGCTTCTTAAAGAGCTGACCTTCAAGGGGCCATTGGGATGGGTGCAACCTCTAACCAGTGGGGCAGAAGCTGGTGGGCACAGCAGACAGCCGGAGGCAGGGGTGGGAAGGTTAGAGAGTTTATTATTTACACGTGTAAAGGATGTGGGAACAGGAGCTGGGGTGAGGCACAGCTGGGAAGATGACTCCAGCTCAGTCCGTGATGATGAGCTCGTCCACCCCCCAGTCTTCATAGCTCCCGTCAGGCAGGTAGCGCCGAATGATGATGGGGATCTTTCGGGCCCTGTGGCAGGGAGAAGGCACATGCACGTGAGGGCAGGAGACCCCAGCTCTGCAGCAGGAGGGGCAGACTGTCTGCAGAATGCGAGGAAAGAGGAGTGAGGGAGCCTCTTCCTGGGGCTGAGTGGGCTTTGTAGGAAAAGAACTCCAATAAAAAGAACGTTCCTGCATCCCCGAGCGTGGGACAGTGGTCTGGAGGGGCCTGCCATCCCACGTCTGGAGGAGGAGGAGGAAGATGGGGGCTGGGAGGCAGGCTGCTGCAGGAACAGGGAACTCTGACGGCCAGGAGAGGTGCTTTCTTCTCAGTGGCCTCCCCTTTGCCTGCCCCTCCTTCCTCTCCCTCCTCCTTCCTGGTGCACTGACTCCTGAACAAGCTAAGATCCACAGGAACCATCACCGCTTCCCCAGGCAGGGAGGTGGGGTCGGGGTGCAGCAGAGAATCCAGAGGATGCCTGCCCGGGCTCTGGAGCAGCAAACCGTGATCTGGGCAACTTACTTGAGCTCTTTCATGGCGATAAGCAGGGGATCTGTCTCCCCCTCCAGCTCCACCATCACAGGGGCACACATCCTGTGGGCACAGGGACAGGTGTTGGGGAGACGGCCAACGCAGGGAGAAAGGTCCAACAGGAAATTGGGAATGGGGGTGGGGCTTAGTTCACAAACAGGATTGGATGGGCACCCCCATCCTCACCTAGAAGGTCACCTCCCTTTTTTCTAAGAAAGGTCACCTTCTAGGCCGACAGGCATGGCAGGTGGGGAGCAGTGGTTCAGGGGCACTGACAGGGAGGGTATGCGAGTGGGAGCGAGTAGACCGGGTTTAAATTTTGCCTCCAAAGACACTGAATTTCTCTCTAAACTTCAGTATCCTCATGTGAAAATGAAGACAAAAAGCCCTGCCTCGCCTACAATGATACTAGGACACTACTGGCTAACAGGCAGCGACTCACTGAGTGTCACACCTGCTCTCAGTTCTCTGCAGACTGTTATTTGAGGTGAGTATTCTATTATACTGATGTGGAAACTGAGGCACAGAGAGTGGCAGAACCAAGATGTGAACCCCACATGCTCCTATCCACTGGGCTGTAACACCTCCCATGTATAAGCTAAGGATCCACAAACTTAAAAACAAGGGTATTGTGAATGGGACGAGGGTAAGCTTTACCCACAAGGCCTCTCTCAGGATCTTCCCCAGGGCCAATGGCAGAGTTCCCGGCACCGAGAAATGGCATGAGCAAAGGCTCCCCTTCGGATGGCCCGAACCCACTGCCCCCCGGACCCTGCCTCAGGGCCCAGCTCCCATTTTCCTTCTCTATCTTGGCATCACCCCTCAGAAGTCCTGCTCTTCCAGCCTCCTGCTCACCTTTCTAGCACGTCTCATGCTACCTGCCTATGTTCACCCCATGTTCCCACCACACCAAACTCCTGAGGCTCCTGACAGACACTGCTGTTACCTTGTTGTGTCCTCTGACTGCTCTTCCTCTCCCTATAGGCCTGGGAGACACTCAAACGCCTCCACTCTGGGGATCATGAGCTGGATCCTCAGTGCCCGGCTCATTTACACAGGCTTCTCTTGGCACCAACCCCCCTGGACTCTGACTCCTTGTTTGAAGTTTTCCACATTAGACCATGATGAGCACCTGTGGCCCAGGGCACGCCCTGGCACAATGCCTGACGCACAGCACAACTGGGTGGGGTGCCAGTTCCCGGCCCACCTCCTCCAGGAAGCCACCTAATGATTCTAGCTCAGGTTTACCCTACTAGATCCGAAACCTGATCATCAGAGCTACCAGGAGAGCACACTACAGTCAGGGCCCCAGGACCCTTTTCCAGACCCTCGGAGTAGACTCTCTAGTGAGGGGGCCTGAGAACCTGCATTTACAAAGCTCCCTGCTGACTCTGGTAACCAGCCAATGCGAGAGCCACCAGTTTACACCAGATAATTTACTAATTTTATTACTAAATACTTTATTACTCCCAAACGCCTGAAAATTTCCCAAGTGTTTAACTTGCCCTATATCAGTGATGGCGAACCTTTTGAGCTCGGCATGTCAGCATTTTGAAAAACCCTAATTTAACTCTGGTGCCGTGTCACATAGAGAAATTTTTTGCTCTTTGCAACCATAGTAAAACAAAGACTTATATTTTTGATATTTATTTTATATATTTAAATGCCATTTAACAAAGAAAAATCAACCAAAAAAATGAGTTCGTGTGTCACCTGACACGTGTGTCATAGGTTCGCCATCACTGGCCTATATCCTCTCTCAATAAGTGTTAAAGCTTTACAGAGTGTGGCATATGCCTTCTTTATTTCCAGATATGAATAATTAAAGAGCATTCACTCATCCAGCCCTGCTGTGTGCATGCAATGTGCTAAGCGTGAGAGTGTGTCCTTAGGTAATTTGTCTGCACCAGAGACACCATAAAAGAACACAGTAATGATTCTTAGGAAGTGGCTGTAGCTCACGTCGCCACTAGGTGGTGCTAAGGAGTGCGACTTCATCCAAAAACTATCCGAGAAATGTTCGTTCAGCACCTCACTGCAGGGCCGCATGCCTGGTGCTAGTCCTCCACTCACAGCAGGCGGGGAACCGCCGGACAGCGGCCCACCCCTCCACTGGAAGGCAGCTATGCTCACCACTATACCACCAACGCCAACCCTACCCCTCCATTGGAAGGAGCACTACAGACCCAGCTACATGGGACCATGCCTTGTTCCGAAGAAAAGCAGGTCCTGGGACTCAGCATGCTCTGAAAGTCTGTCTCCACACTTTTTAGTGCTGCCCACTGCCCACCAACCGCACACCCATCTTCTGCTCAAGGCTCCGTGACATCTTTTCCAGTCTTGTGTCCCAAGCCACTGGCCATTCCCCACCACATGCCAAACTTGCCTGCCTCACGTGGACCTTGCCTCATGCTGTTTCTGTTCCCGGGTTACCCTCAAAACCACCACCCTCTCCTGTCCCTGCCTGAACTCTCACCTCCTCTGCAGTTTACTCCCTCCTCCCCTTTTTTGTGCCTCTTACAAAGCTCCACACCTGCCTGCCTTGGGTTCTGGGTGTCTGTGAAGGGGTCCACCTCCCCCCAGGCTATAGACACCTGGAAGACAGGAGGATTGTGTCTAATTATCTTCACACCCCAACAGGTACAAGCACAGTATCTTATTCAATGTTTGAAAGACTTAACTTACTTGAAAAAATAATTTATGCATTATTCTTCCTGCCGGGTCATTTTTAGCAGAGATGAGCACTAAAGCAGCAATAAATTGCTTTGCAACAATGGAAATGTCTTCTATCTGCACTATCCATTATGGACACCACAGCCACAGGTGACTACTGAATATTATAATGTGGCTGATGAAACCAAACAGCTGAACTTTCCATTTTACTTTATTTAAAATTGAATGGCCACATGTAGATAGCAGCTACCGTAACTAACGGTGGCCTTGAGGATCCGGACCCAAAGACCCCAAAATGACCGTGTGGATCGCGGCTCTGATTTCTCCCAGACCAGCAAGAGGTCTCCTGCTGCGGAGCGGATGAGGAGCAATGCTGCCCGACCATAAAGCCCTTTATCGAGGTGGACACGGTGGCCATCTTCAGCACTGGAGGCGATCAAGTCCCAAGCTGATTGAAAACTAGGGAGGGGACACGTGCTCCTCCAGCACACCGAACTCCACACGCTGGCCCCAGCTTCCTTTCTGCCCTAGTGTCCAATGCTCCCTACTTGAAGCAGCCCAACTGCCAGAAATACTTGCACACAGGCTCGTAAGAAGTCTGGGGAGGGCTCCTTTAGGAGACCTTCATGAGGGCAGAAGTCCCAACCTGCCCTCTCTGTCCCCCGACTTACTCCTCCCCAGGAAGGAGGGGTGACTCATCTGTCAGGGAACCTGAGGGGGGAAAACAGGCATCTGTGGCCTAGCCTTTGGGGGAGTCCCTGCTCTCTGAAAGCCACCTGCCTGCAGAGAGGGGGCCTTGCAACCTTCGAAGGCAGGCTTGCCCCTGCAGACACAGCCGCGAGGCCTGCACTGTCGGAGCAGGCACTCCTCAGATATTTTCATCACCTCCTATCCAGTGGCTATCTCCTGAATCTTGTTATTCTTCAACTGGTTTCAGACTTGGAAGATAAAGGCAAGTCTGCTAATTTCAAATCCCCAGAACCCCATCACCATTCTGTTTTCACATCTCTGCATGGCCTCTACATGGAGGGCTCGCCTACTCCTCCGGGCTGGCCATGGTCAAGAACCACCAAAAGCCCAATGGGGGTGCCACAGCCCCCCCCGCAACTGGCCCACAGTGGTCTAGGACTCTCTAAACCCACACTTTTAGCATGTGGAAGCAGGGAGAGTCTGTTTCTAGGTGCCAGGCTGGGCCACATCAACGGCTCAGAGGCTCACTGTGGCCTGACGGATGGAAAAGACAGGCAAGGGGCAGACACTCACGCTATCTGGAGGGCTCGGGTGCCCAGCACGCGGGCTCGCTCATACTTGGTCATATATGGTGTGGTGATCCGCTTCTGGTTGGCCTGCGGTCGCTCTCCAGAGGGGAGGATCTCAACGTTCTCCTGGCCCTCCTGGACACCAAGGCAGAAAGAGGGAAGTCTCAGGGCGCCTTACTGAGTGAGGGGGGATGACGATGCCAACGATGATAGCCACCACCACCACTGCTTGTCACTCCCCAGCAACCGTGCAGCTGCCTTTCTGACACCTCATTTAATCCTACAACAACCTCATGAGGTAGGGATTACAGTGCCATTTTAGAAGCTTGGAGAGCCGAAACCGGTTTGGCTCGGTGGATAGAGCGTCGGCTTGCGGACTGGGAGGTCCCGGGTTCGATTCCGGTCAGGGGCATGTACCTTGGCTGTGGGCACGTCCCCAGTGGGGAGTGTGCGGGAAGCAGCTGGTCGATGTTTCTCTCTCATCGATGTTTCTAACTCTCTATCTCTCTCCCTTCCTCTCTGTAAAAAACTCAATAAAATATATTTTTTTAAAAAAAAGAAGCTTGGAGAGTCAGCGAACTGGCCAAAGTCTCAGACCTACTAAGAGAGAAGACTCATGGTCAGGATTCCAAGCCAGCTGCTTCATCCAGAGGAGAGAAGCGGAGGGTCCAGAGATAGGGCTGTCCCGGAACCATGGCCCCATACAAAGAAGCCCTGAGCACAGACGACAAATCACCCTAAGCAGGAAGCGAGAAGCAAGCATCCCATCTTCAGGTAGGATAACTGAGCGAATGGGTCAAGGAGCTAAAAAGTCAGTGAAGGCAGAAACTAGCAAACATTTTTCCGTATATATACATATATTCAACAATTACTTATTAAGCATTTGCCACATGCCAGACATAACAGGTGCTGAGACAGAAAGCTAAGAGTTTCTGCTCTCAAAGAATTCACAGTCTGGGAAGGTGACAAGAGTAAACAGAGCAGCAGTGCTTTGAAGGTATGCAGCAAAGTTAAGCAGGTGAGGGTCATCTGACTCATGCGGGGGTTAGGGAGACAGTCCAGAGATGAGACTGGAACTAGTGTAGAAGAACTCATTGGAGTCCCCAAGCCAACGGAAGGGAAGGACATGGAGACAGGTTGAAATGCATGTCCAAAGCACAGAGGAGGGAGAGAATGCACTAGGTTTAGACAACTAATTGTGGAGTATGATTAGAGCAAAGGTGCACATAGGGTCGTAGGCAGGAGAATAAATTCTATAATAAAGAATTAAGTCAACAAATATTTACTGAGTGTTTACTACATATCAGGTAGTGTTCTAAGTTCTCGGGACAGGGCAGGAAGACATAAAAATTGTTCCCCTACATAGAGATTAAATACGGCCGCAGAGTGAGTGGATGCTGCACGGACATGCTCCCAGGAACAAACTGGAAATACACTAAAATACAGAAAAACTTCCTGAATAATCTACAGAAGACTCACTGGAGAGAACCCTGATACCCTAGGACTGAAAGTGGAGACCACATGGAGACTGTGTACACATTTTAACAGTCAAAGGACCTGGACATCCTTTAGCTCAAATGGCCCATTTTCCAGACATAACAGGGACAGAAAGTTATCTGCTCAAAGACGGGAAGCTATCGGCGACAGAGTAAACACAAACACCAGCTCCTGACGTGGCACAAAACGGAAGAGAGAATCATTTCGCCTCGCATGATTTATATGTCTGGTTAAATCCGTACTGAAATTTCTCAAATAAAATGTCATAAATGGAAACGCTGATGAAAGTATTTGACCATAAATTTACTGACAGGTGTTTCTACAAAATAAAATGTGTTATGATTAAAAAAAAAATTCTTCCCTCATGGAGCTTATATTATAATGAGAAGAGATAATAAAATTAATAAGTAAAGTGAACAGTGTGACAACAGAGAAAAAAGACAGGACGTGCCAGGGCAGTGATGTGGAAGGAAGGGGAGGATGCTGCAAGTTCAATAGGATGGTCACAGAGGCCTCAGTGAGATGACCTGGACAGACCTGAAGGAGGCGAGAAGCGGGTCATGGGGATATCTTAGGGAAAAGTGTTCCTGGAAGAGGGAACAGCATGGTCAAAGGTCCTAAGCAGGAATCTGCCTGGCATGACAGGGACAGCAAGAAGAGGTAAGGTCACAGAGGGAGCGAGTGGCCAGGTCATGGAGAACCTTGGACATCTTTTTGGCATTTACTGTGAATGGATGGGAAACCACTGGATGAGGGTTCTGAGCAGAAGAGAGAGACAATCTGACTGAACATTTAAAATGACCCCTCTGGGTAGTCTGTTGAGAATATTCTGAGGGGCAAGGGCAGAAGCAAAGAGACCATTTTAAGGAAGACCAACAGTAATCAATCAGGTAAGAAAGACAACTGGCAGCAGAAAGGCAATCAGGGCAGAATGAAGGCAGGAAAACCAGGAACACAATCTCTGCAGTAACGATGGTGAAAAACAATAAAGATCTAAACCAGCCTGAGCCCTGGGTATGTGGAAAGGGACCAGAGCTAACCCACAGGTAGGAGGCAAAGCCGACAGGACAGGAATGGAAGGGGACCGGAGGGTGGGGAAGGAGTTGTCTGACACAGTGAACAGGTACCTGGGAGAGAAAATTCAAAGAGGGGCCTCAGCTTCCAAGCCTAAGAAAGTCAAGGGACCACTCTGTCCAGGAGACATAAAGCACCTCTTCCTGCATCAGCCACGCAAGAGGGAGAGCCCTATTCTATTCACGAAGCCAGTCACCCATCCACCTGGCCGCTCAAGCCAGAAACCTAGGACTCATCCTTGTCATCTCCCACTTTCTCAGCCCATAGCCAATCCACCAAAATATCTTTCATCTGCTTCTCATCACTGACACTAGCAGTGCCCAAATCCAAGCTACAGGCCTCTCCCCGGACGTCTATGAGAGCTCCCTAGTTGGTCTCTCTCTTTTACTCTTGTTCCTCCCCAATTCGCTCCTTACTCTGAGGCCAGAATGCTCTTTCTAAAGGGCAAACTGGATCATGCCACTCCCTTGCTCGAAACTCCTCAGTGGCTTCCCGCTACCTTTAGGCTATGAAATCTGCCTGAACTGGGACCTTCTCTTCCAGCTTTATCCCAGGTCACCCTCCCCCTCGCTCCTATGGACCCCCACCCTGCAGAGCACCTGGGGCATAATAAACACTCAACACCTTTGTTGAATGAATGAAGGTAACATTTCACCTAACAGTGAACTAACTGTCCCAGAAGCCATGGGCTGTGATCCAAATGGACAAAAGCCTTGGGACCACCCTGTAGAGCTTCTCCACCACCACCCAGGACTGGAACTCTGCTCACTCTAACTGGGGGTGCTTGTGGCAGGGGCACAAACAGGAGGCAGGTGCATTCGGGGAATTATCACTGGCCAGGCCATCTGGCAGCCTGGGCTGCGTTAGAGAAAGCCCAGGGTTAACTACTGACCTCCTCAGCATTCTCCAAGTCATCTAGTCCTTCATCCTCCTCCACATCATCAAAGTCGTCGCCATCAAAACTGCACAAGAAGAGACCAGTTAGTTGAGCATCACTTAATCGAATCAAAGAGGGCATGGGGTGTCTCCGCCAACACTGAGGGGGCGCTCGATAAATATCTACTTAATGAGTGAATCACACTTGTGTTAACCTACTCCCATCAGCCCCCCAAAGTGTGCCAGGACTCATGCATCCTCACGGTTTCTTTCCTCTCTCTACTGGATCATTCCCATCAGCATGTAAACATGTAGCTACTGCCCCACCTTAAAAAACAGACAAAGCTTCTCTATGCTCTCCCCATGGAGCCCATTTCCATGCTCCTCTTGGGAGCAAACTTCAAGGAAGAGTTGTCCAACGTCACGGGTTCCCATTCTTCTCTTCTTATTCTGTCGTAATCTCACTCCAAGAAGACGCCCACCCCCACAACTCCCTCAAAACCACTGCTTCTTTCGAGCGTCTTAATGATGTCCGTGTTGCTAAATCCAATGGACTGTTCATGTTCTCACTGAGCTTGGCCTCCCAGTTGGCACCTCGGCCACTCCCTCTCCCTCAACACCCTCTCCTCACTCTCTTGGTGTGTCCCCGCCTCACTGGCTGCTCCTTCCCAGTCTCCTGGGCAGGTTTCCCCTCTTTTCCCCCCAAACACCCTCCTGGGATGCTCTAACTGCCCATGGGGCCCAGCGAGCAGGCAGGGCGGGAGCCAAAAGCATCGCCTGAGGGTGGGCACAGAAAGGCTCAGGCCCAGGGTCCAGCAGGCACCTCCTCTTCTCCATGACACTCCCCTGATGACCTCGCCTGCTTCTTCGTTTGGAATAATGTTGACCAAGCCCCTATTTTCATCTTCAGAACAGACCTCTCCTTGGACCCCACACACACATCAGAACATCATTCTGGCCCTCGCTTCAAAATAAATCCGGAACTCAAGCCACCGCTCACGACCTCTACTACCTCTACTCCTATTGCCCTCGCACACGCCACCGCCTACTCTCAGCCAGGCGACGGCACCCGCAGGCCTTGCTCACCCCTGCGGTGCTTCGGCAGAGCGGGTCCTCACTTAACGTCGTGGACAGCCCCTGCGACTTGAAGCAGAACAACGTGCGGAAACCCATGCTCCTACCCTCGGCTGACACAGGCAGGAGTGCCGCTCCTACAGCATCTCATCGACGCAAACAAAACGACTTTATTCGAGGCCCTGCCTCAGCTCACAGGATGCTGTCGCATCTGTCCATGGGCCGCTCCCTCTTCTAGAAAGGGAGCACGTGGGGATCCGTGACTACGCCTAATGCACCGCAACGGTCCCAACCCAGGCACGGCGCCCGGCTCGGCGGAAGTCTGCTGAAGGCGCCGGTGCACGGATCCTCTCTGGACCCTCGAGCCCGAGCCTTTCTGTGCCCAACCTCGGGCTATGCTCTCCGCCCTCGCGGCTCCAGCGCCGCGGGCCCCCTCACAGCTCAGGTCCCCTCAGATTCTGCTCCTCGACTCCTGGCTCCCCAGCCTCCCTCGACCCAGGTTCCCGTTTCACCCGCCCCTGCCGAGG